GTGGGAGGAAGCCGGAGCACCCGGAGAGAACCCACGCAAGCACGGGGAGAACATGCAAACTCCACACAGAAAGGTCCCAGGTGGGGCCCGAACCCGGAACCTTCTCGCTGTGAGGCAACGGCGCTAACCACTGTGCCACCGTGCTGCCCTTAGAATTAGACAATTAAAATATGAACAACCCATTTATAAGAGGTTGGACTAACTGAATTGAACTCCGCTGACATGCTGTAGCCTGCTGCAGAGGTGACTGTCGCTAGGTTTTTCATGGCCCTTAAAATTTTGATCAGAAACCTGCTGCCACACTGGAGACTGGACTTGCCAGCTCCATTTCAGCCAAAGTTCTGAATTTGGGAAACATTTTTATCTGGAAGTGATTAGCAGTTGTTCTAAACGTTGGATTTCTTGATCCTGATGCCCTCACTTCACTAGGAGGAACCCGCTGCATGCGCTCCTTCTGTACCCCTCTGTGATCTGTAATGGTCATAGACCTGCTCTGTGCCTTTAGTCCGTGGCTCTTCAACAGGCTGTGAACTCCCAGATAGCGAGCTGCATTGAATGGGTCTCAGTTGTCCTTCATCCACTGCATCAGTTCCTCTTTTTCACCTCGTTTATCAACGCCATAGCAACCATCTGGACTTTTAAGTAGCCTATAGCCTAACTTTAAGTTAGTGTAGATCACCCTCTGTGTTCTAAACTGCCAAAATGACAAACGGCCTTCAGATTCTTCCGTCATTAATAAAAAAATGAAATTGTCAATTACAGCAAATGTTCGGTTAACAGAACCTCGTGTATTGCATCATCACATTGCTCGGTAATTTGATACATAATCACTTATAGAAAGGTGGGGTGTACGCTTGATGAAAGTGGATATCGTGAATACAGCATGGTGCAAATGAACAGGTTTTAATATTAGTATCTTATGCTAAATTATCATAGCCTGTTTTTCTCCCTCTGCTGGAGCCTGTAAACATTAGTCTGTCTTCAGCTTCCTGGTTTCTGAAATGTTCCTGGTCCACTATTTTCTGATCACACCACCGTTTTGCAGTCTCGCCCTGTGGAGTACCTACTTCTGCCTTCCTGGTTGCCTGCCTGTTACTCACCTGACTTAGTTCAGTGTCTGTGCTTTCTAAATCCAGTTCACTGTCTGGCCCTTACACTATTCATAGGACACTCATCTGTTGTCTTCAGCCGGCAGGTGGATATTGTCTCTATGCATTTCACTCACCTCTGCCACAGTACTAAAAAACTATAAATTAAAAATGTCAGACAAAATACACTATAAAGTACACAAAAACAGGGAGTTCAAGTGATGGCAGCCATCCTCACCAGCGCCACCAAACCACCATATTGCCAAACAAAGGATTGTGGAAGGTTTAATAAACTGGAAGTAAAAATGTCTTTGCTATGTTGATTTCTGTTTATGCTGTTTTACTGCTGGAAAAATGAGCCATTGCTAAATATTGTAACTAAGGAAGTGTTTAAAATTGGTCTAGTCACTGATAATTGTGCATGTTTATTTGTCTTTCTGTATCATAGGATGAGTTCCATCCGTTCATTGAGGCTCTGCTGCCCCAGGTCCGTGCCTTTGCCTACACATGGTTCAACCTCCAGGCCAGGAAAAGGAAGTACTTCAAAAAGCATGAGAAAAGGATGACTAAAGAAGAAGAGAGAGCCGTCAAAGATGAACTGCTGGGGGAGAAGGCAGAGGTGGGATAAATTGAGTGGTGGATAGTATCAATAAACTTAGTTTTGTTTTACAGATCAAATAGATAAAATGAAAATATTATTTTAGCAATCTGAAGACATTGTATACCTTCTTCAGGGTGGCGGAGGGTTCATGGGAGTTTGCCCAACCAGTCCACATGTGTTTCGTGGATCTGGAGAAGGCATTCGACCGTGTCCCTCGCAGCGCCCTTTGGGGGGTGCTAAGGGCCGTCCGGTCCCTGTACGACCGGAGCAGGAGCTTGGTTCGCATCGCTGGCAGTAAGTCAGACTTGTTTCCAGTGCATGTTGGACTCCGGCAGGGCTGCCCTTTGTCACCGGTTTCTAGGCGCAGCCAGGGGCCAGAGGGAGTCTGGTTTGGGGACCACAGGATCTCATCTCTGCTTTTTGCAGACTATGTTGTCCTGTTGGCCCCATCAAACCAGGACCTCCAGTGTGCACTGGGGTGGTTTGCAGCCGAGTGTGAAGCGGCTGGGATGAG